ATGCGACATTCACTGCAGTTTTGTTTTCATGAATCAGCGTTTTTAAGGCAGAATGGGTGAGCCAGTAGATGTACGGAGCCGTTCACCATAAACACAACGCTTCTGTCCTCGAGCTATTTATAGCCAAAGCGCTTCATCTTGCGGCAGACATCAGCCTCTCCTTGTGCTGTGGAAAGACAAACCTTATTGTTTTAATTCCATGTATAAGTGATCAAAATGTAGTTTGGTGCTTTCCCTTTCATTTGATTTTTTTCTTAGTACAAACTCATGAAATGGAATTATTTGCGAAATATGAGTAGTCTAATAATAACTAGCCTTGCTTTAATAGACTAGAATTTCTGTGTCCTTTATAATGAGGCTGACTTCACTGCATTGCTGTAAAGGAACTGTCCAGTGCTGAAATAACCATTTATGGCTCATTTCCACCGAGCGGTATGGGTCAGTACGGTACGATACAGGACAGTACACCCTGATCTGTCTTGCGTTTCCCCCGCCAACAGTACCATTACTTGATAGGTGTGGTGTATGCCGGAAAGTAGCGACATTGTCTGTGTGTATGAGTGTGAAAATATAAAATTATAAAATACACTTTTATATTTTGTGTTTGCACACTGATGTAAACAAGCCCAACACACATGAGCAGCATGGCAGAACGAGTGAAGGAGACGCTTCATTCCCCTTGTGTTGTCATTCCCTTGTAGCACACGCTAGTGACGATTCTGTCAACCAATCAATGTTCTGCAGTGAGTCTAGCTCCACCCTTTAGGTACCGGACTACTGTGTTAGGTACCCAAACGGAAGGGTCCCAAAAAAGTGGTACGGTTAACTATTTTGGTACCATTCACAACTTCTGACAATGGAAACAGAAATAATTAAGTACTGTACTGAACCGTACCACTCGGTGGAAACGAGTCATTGTATTTAAGGGTATATTTCAACATTCTTCTAAATGCATGTTACATGTTTTTTTTTTGTTTTTAACACATGATCGTTTGTCTGTTCTTTTCTTAAAAAAAAAAATGTATATACATTTGTGCTCTTTTGTTCCATGTTGGCTGTATACCAAGATTTTAAAACATCTTTGTTCAATAATGAGTAAAAGTACAATTAATAGAGCTATTTTTATCCAGGTGCTTGCACATTAAATAGTGTTTTCAAACCATCTGGGTGCTAGTTGCTATTATTGTTCATTTGCACCACTGCTGTCTATTTGTTTGTGGGAATAACGCGTGAGCTTTTGCCAAGTCCTAGTGCAAATAGCCTGAAAATGCTTTTAAGCCTCCACTGAGATGTTAACTGGTTTGTTTCATTTGGGAAACAACATTCCACCAAAACCAAGTGACCTGTTCTTTTTATTTTCTCTGTAGATTTCACGTGATCTGCAGTGTTTGCATAACAATATTTAGGCGCTCCGAATTCATAATATTCACTTGAAAATACAGTTTGAGCTTGCTTTCTTTTCTTCTAGATGTCCAGCTCGCCGCTGTCCAAGAAGCGTCGCGTGTCAGGATCAGAGACGAAGACGGGATCCCACTGCTCCTCCTCTAACTCTGTCAGAACCGAACTGTCCCACACACCAGCTAACGTGGGTTCAAGTCAAGCTTTTTAAAACTAACTTGTTTGTCTAGATGTCCCGGTTATATGCAATCTAAACTGGTATGTGTAGGCACATATTTTGTGAATATAATCTTCATTCTTTACTGTGCCTGGTTGTTGAAAGGCAGCCGGTTTCATGAGTTATGCTTGTCTATTTATAGTCTGATAACTGTGGTTTTGGTCTCTGCAGGGCATGGCTAAGAATGGGAATGATGCTGAGATCGACGAGGGCTTGTACTCCAGACAGCTGTGAGTTTGGCCTTCATTTCAGTTTGATGTATCCTTAAGGCCTCGATATACGTCAAACGAAGTTCGTTTTTGTTCTTCGTTTGGGGGCAAAAAGAAGCTCGAAAAGGCTGAGCGACGGTATACTGTATTCAAACTTTCTGACACCCCCACGCTGCTGGAGGCGGGTTGTAGATTATTATGTTTCGCGCCGCTCGCGCATATGCCCTAAACGCAACAACGATGAAATGATGAAATGTATCTAGGTGTGAGACGGGTACCAATGGTCAGAATATTATAGACAAAAGAATAATGATTAGCAGTTCAGAGTCAAGTATCATGTTTGCAATACAAAAGAACCATTCCGTTTCCATACTCAGTCCTTTATGGGAAGTGTGAATGGCTCATAGTCTGAAATTTTTTTTTTTTTTTTTTAGTCTGAAAACTTTAGCATGATGTGAAAAAAATATTGCAGTCATTTCAATAACACAAACATGTTACTTTATTTTATGATTGTTCATTTATTTTATTAAACTGGGTAAATTATTGCACCTTTTTATATTTTGTGCGTCATGATCTAATTTGGATAAAAACAAAGGTTAATTATTGTATGTTCTTTTGGCATTTCATTTATTGCATACCTTTCAAATTCGCTTGTAAAAATAATTATTTGAAACATGTATTTGCTACTCGCCACCTTATCTCCACTCTTTCTTTCATTCTTTTCATGGCTTTGGAAAGCTGGCATCGGATGTTTCTGCATGTCGCTTTGCATAACTCGTGCTTTGTTGCAATTTCTTTCTAGGAATTAAATGCTTTCTTTGAATCTTTAAAGTCTCTCCGCGAGCGATCGTACAGGTGCGGATATATCTGTGGCAGCTCAGCTATTCCAGTGTATTCATATTGCTAGTAACTTGGTGTTGTTGCTGTTCTAGATGTTGTTCTCCTGTCTGACCTCCGTGGAATGAGAAACGAATTGAGGAAAAAAAATCTCATGTCAAAGAAGGTGGAGTTTCAGAACACACCCACCGATTGCGTAATCGCCACGGACCAATGGAAGCTCAAAGGTGTTTAGGAGGCAAAACGAACTCCCCCAGAAAGTTCGCTTTGGTGAGCTGTTTCGAACTGCCTAAATGAATTCAAAACGAACTTCGTTTCGGCCTGATTTTGTTCGAAATGACATCATATCAGTTCGTTCTTCGATTTCGTTTGAAGTATATCGGGGCCTTTAGAATGTTCTTTTTCAGCAAATAAGCGATCACATGAGTAGTTGTTAAATTTAGTATGTGTCTCTCAGGTACGTACTGGGCCATGATGCTATGAAACGCATGCAGAGCTCCAATGTTCTGATCTCAGGGCTGCGAGGTTTGGGTGTAGAAATAGCCAAGAATGTCATTCTGGGAGGAGTCAAGAGTGTCACCCTGCACGACCAGGGCGTGGCTGAGTGGAATGACCTTTCGTCACAGGTCAGTGGTTGGTCATGAGTCATAACCATAAGTGTGTGAATGCAAAACACAGCCATTGCTGCTAATTTACTGCAGAGGGGCTGTAAAATAACTAAAACAAGAGTATAGTCAAAATCCACATTTGATGGCTCAAACGACAATTAAATTACATTACTCTCCAAAAGTTTGGGGTCAGTAAGATAAAGTAATGTTAAATATTTGAAATATTTCAAATAAATGCTGATCTTCTCAAATTTCTATTAATCAAGAGTCCTAAGAAAAATGTTTCCTGGTTTCCACTAGGGTTGAGCGATATCATCCGATGCCAAATTTGTAGACGTTTACAGTGAAACATCGCGATGGACGATGACATCGGCAGGGGCAAGCGGGTGGGGGTGTGCCTGAAGCGTGAATCCTTTTAAGGGAAAACAACTAACGATTCCTAACACCATGTCTACACCGGATGCGAGCGGCGCGAAAAAATACTGTAGAACCACTGATCTATTATTAAGATTATTTATAGATCAGTCAAAAGAACTCATTATAATCAGTGATGCTGTCTATACTGGATGCGGCGCGCGTGACACGACAAATCCCTGACAGTAAACTGCTGCCGCGTTCTATTTATGACGTGCTGACACAAATTTCAAATGATTCTTTGTCGCGTCCAGTGTAGGCAGTCTTTAGCTGATGCGGCGCGACACGACAACTGTCGCGTCCGGTGTAGACACGGTGTAAGGAGAGATGAATGAGGACGATGGCGAATGATTTGCAGATCCTCAGTACCATTGACAAACATATAATCTTGTAAAATGTGTTGCAAGTACTGCCGCTCCATAGTATAAACAGAGTACGTGCGATCACGAATCTCGAAAGTGATAGTGAAACTAAAAAGCGATCGTGCATTCAAAAGGGTGGGGGGGGGATCACGATGCCGGCGCAACATCGGCGATGGACAATGGCATCGTCTATCGGCCCAACACTAGTTTCCACAAAAATATTAAACAGTACAAATGTTTTTACGACATAAGAAATGTTGCTTGAGTACCAAATCAGCATATTAGAATGATTTCTGAAGGATCATGTGACACTGAAGACTGGATTAATGGCTGCTGAAGATTCAGCTTTGGAATAAATTACATTTTAAAATGTATTGCAATAGAAAAATGTAAGTTGTATTAATATTTCACAATATTACTGTATTAAATAATTGCAGCTTTGCTGAGCATAAGAGTCTTCTTTTACAAACATTATAAAATATTACTGACCCAAAACTTTTGAACAGCAGTGAACATTAACAAATTAAGACATTATATAACAATATTCAGTGGACTAAAAAAAATAATTTTAGGAATAAGGAATAAGGAAATTAGTGTGATGTTAATTGTAGTAGTAATAAAAATAATAGGGTTTGTTACATGTCTTAGTTTTTAGTTTTAGAGGAGGATCTTGGGAAGAACCGTGCGGAGGTCAGTCAGCTTCGACTGGCAGAACTCAACAGCTATGTGCCTGTAACCTCCTTCACTGGCGCCCTCACCAACGAATCCCTGACCAAGTTTCAGGTACTGCTGTTATGGCTCCACTGGACTACATTCATAAGCTCAACACATGGACTAAATTCCCACATACATACAGAACTTTGCATTAGTTAAAGTTTTGTTTGACCAGCTCACCAACTCCAGCCTCGATGAGCAGATGCGTGTTGGTGACTTCTGCCATAGTAATGGTAGTAATGGCATCGTGGCAGACACGCGTGGGCTGTTTGGGTAGAATACCTTTCTTGTTTTGTGTTGAGTTAAGGTTTTTGGGTATTATTTTGTCTCATGTATGTTCTGTATTTCAATAGGCAACTGTTCTGTGATTTTGGGGAGGAAATGACAGTGTTTGACATCAATGGAGAGCAGCCACTGAGCGCCATGATCTCAATGATCACAAAGGTAAAAATTGTTAACTGGACTTGGCTAAATTATACTGTGTGATGGTAACTTTTAAACCTTGATTATTGTAGAGTCAGAGCGAATGAAGTGTCACATTGACATTTGTTAAACTTCTGGCTGTCTGAACCTTTTGCTCTTTTTGTGTGGTGTGTGTGTGAAAAGGACAGTGCTGGTGTGGTTACATGTCTGGATGAAGCACGGCATGGATTTGAGAGTGGAGATTTCGTCACTTTCACAGAAGTGCAGGGCATGACAGAGCTCAATGGCTGTGATCCAATAGAGATCAAGACACTGGGTGAGTTATCATAGGTTTTCTAATTTGAACAGACCCAGAAACCACCCAGCCCAGTCTCTTGTTAGCCCAGAGACCTCCACAAACATACTAGATCAGTGGTTCTCAACTTTTTGACTCCAATAAGCAAATATAATTAAAATTATTACATTTCAGAAGTCCAGGAGTTGTAATTTTTTCTGGCATCCCAATCTTTCTAACAGTGAATTATTTACATACTCTTCCAGTCCACTCTGTGGATTAAAGAAAAAAAAAAAAGAAAAAAGTTTTTTTACTTCACAATAAAATATTTTAGTGTTCGGCATAACTACAATATTTGTTATACAAATCCACATGGCATTTTGATATTTTATTCATGTTCATGATTTTTAGGTCTAGAAGTCACAAATAAAAGTAGATTACATTATTTTTCAATATGTGTGTGTGTGTGTATTTATTTATTTAGTGTATCTAATAGATGGAAAGATGCATAGTTAGATATTTAGTAGTTTTAGCTATAAAATAATTTTACGTAATTTTCAGGCCCCCTTGGATTTTTGCTGAGGGCAAAATCACTTGGTAAACGACTAGTGTCATTTAGCGAAATAATTAAGCATGAAAAGGCTTTTTGCAAAAAGCTTGCTGACAAACATCAAAAAGTGCTCAAACTGTTTTCATGATTGGACTCTTCTTTGCCTCATCTTCCTCACTGTGTGTCAAGGCATTCACATTTGTCTACGTCTTGGCAAATTTACAACCATTTCAGATGTCTGGAACTTTTAGACTATTTATGGTTGCTTATGGCTGTTTAACTGCTGTTTGTGTCGACCTACTTTTTAAAATTTAACTGGATCAGCGTAAGGCAACAAATGTCAATCATTTTAGCTAATGATCACTTTAGTCACCTACCCCTGTCCTACAGGAACAGGAAGGTGGAAATAAGTTCCTGGTCTCAGAGGCTAAAGCACTGTACTTGTTACTGTTTAAGGAGGTATGCTGTTAACTGTAGGGCTGCACGATATTGGGAAAATATGCGATATTGAATATTGCGATTACGATATTTCTTGCGATATAACATTTCCCTAGAGAAATGCTATTTTTATTAGCTATTTTTAAAAATAATTTATATAGGTAATGATCATACTAAAATAAACGGGTAATAGATATCTTCTGATCTAATTAAATCTAATTCAGGCAAAAAAAAAACTGTGAAGGAAGGTGCAAACATTTAGACTTTAAAATACTACAAATGACTGAAAACCTCGCCAGATACTCTGATTTCTGGTTTGCTGTTACCATAGACCTGCAAACACAAAAAATGCATTACTCTCAAACATTACTTTTTATTCACATGTATCCATACAATCATCAAGAGCATCTTTTAAAGAAAATATTTCCTTGCCTTGCCCGTTTTCTTTTAAATAAAAATAAATATTATTAAACAAATTAAATAAAAAAATACTATTAAAGAAAGTGTACAGGCCTTAAATAAATTGGTATGTAGTGGAAATACTAACATCTTGTCAACATCCACATAAATAAACTAATTAAGTATTAACATGTAAGCATTGAGTAATAGCATACAAACCTATGTTTTAGCACAATGCAATGCCATATGTGCTGTGAAACACATTTTATTCCAGGTTTTTTGCCAGGAAAACTAGCATATTGACTTTGGTAGGTTTTAAACATGTGCGTTGGCACGTCACAACATTTCCTGATGTACTAAAAAGTCTCTCTGAAGGTGAACTACTTGCTGGTATACAGAGATACTTCCTGGCTAGTTTACTCGGGTGTGGGAAGTTGACCTGATGGACTTGCCACCAAGTGAGAGGGTCCATCTCACTGTCTATGGTGGGAGACATCATGTAGCTGCTCAATTCAGCTTCTACAGTGTGTTATGGTTCCATAGATGACAGAGCTGGGGATGTCTTGAAGAAACTGCCCAGGGATTTTTTGGCCTTCTTTAGGGTGACATCTGATGGACCCATGCCCTGGTGATCTTGATCACTAAAGCTTTGCTCCTAAAATAGAGAAATAAAGTAAATATTGTAATCAAATCTAGTTATAGTGCATTATCTTGTCACTTACTATTGTCATATTAACATTTACCTTTGGCACAGTTGCTTCAATTTCAGACATCACCCTGGCTCTGATGTCTGACACCTTGTCAGAGCTGATGTAGGTGGCTTTGAATCTGGGGTCCGTAAAGCAGGTCATGTCCAGAAGTTCTTGAGTTGCTGGGTTGTCATACTTCGTGTTCATGTACTCTAGAATCTTCATCTTTATGGACTTTGTTAAATTACTGTCTTCTTCCTTTGCAGCAAGAATTGAGGTGTTCATCAAGTGAAGTACAGGTTTC